TGTGTGTGGGTGTGTGTGTGTGTGTGTGTGTGTGGGGGTGTGTGTGTGTGGGTGTGTGTGTGTGTGTGTGTGTGTTTTAATGTCATTTTATTGAAAAATTTGATTGGACGGGCAAGCGAATGATGCAAACTTTTGCCAGTATTAGCTGCAACAGAGCAGACATCAGTGTGTAATGGTATTACATTTGCCAACACTCTTTAGTCATTTTGTGCCCAAACTAGTTGGTTTTTATCATTTTATGCAGACCCTTAAACAGAGTACTAACAAAGTGTGAAGATCTGTTATTCTCCCCTTCACTGGGATGAGAATAAAGAAAACAGTTGCTTCTAGAGCAGGGGTGCCCAAACATTTTCCCTGAGAGGGCCAAAATTAAAATCAATCTGAGGGCAACGGGCCAAATGCAGTAATGTAATACATGAAATGTAAATACTTCTTAAGTTAAGTTGTTTTATTTTCATAAATAAGCTAGCAGCCAGTGCAGTTGCCCACATTCTKTTTTCAGCACACGGACATGGAGAAAATTCAACATTTGTTCACGCAGCAAAGGCTCATGGGACTTTTCATAATTTATAATTTGAGTATATGTGGTCTTATAATGTGTATAAATCCAGATGTGTGCTTAAACCTAATCTAAATGTATCTTGTAGTTACTTGTATTTTATGTTTAATCTTAACATAACTCAAAGATAAAGTGAGTACCATGAGKTAAGACTATATGACTGCAGATCCTTGTACCTATAGTTGGACCAATGGTTGAAAAGTGGAAATATAGTGTTTCTACATAGGACTGGAGATTACAATCTAATAATCAGGACTACTGCTGGTGGGCCAAATCAAATGGCTTGGCTTGGTGGGCCAAATTTGGGCACCTCTGGCCTAGAGGCTGGCGGTTTGCCACTCCTGCTTTAAAGGTCCAAATGAATAACTGTTGTTAGCAACATATTTTCTTTAAGTGAAACCAGTTTACGTAAGTTTTCAAAGTGGAACCTACTCAGCTTGTCCTCCCACTGTCAGACTAACTGTTAGTGTTGAGTAAAAGGTGTGAAATAAGACTACAACAAGCTGAGAAYTTCAGATTCAAGAGATGTTTACTGACAAAGGTAAACTCAATACTTATTTCTTGTGCAGTTTATTCTCTGAAATATAGTTTTTTGTGCTAGTTCCAAAGTATTACAAAACATTAAATAAAAGTGTCCATTTTTAAGACCAAGGACAACAATAAACAAACTGAACTTTCAGAGAAGTTTTTTTTTGTTTGTTTTGCCATTCTAATCAAGTGATACCAGTTGATTGTGTGTGTATGTGTACTTCRGCACAATATAAACATCTTTCACTTTAAGAAAAATGCCAGTGTATCTGCATCTGCAGAACATTTTTATTGTCTTCTAAAAGAARCTGTTGAGATGAGTTAGAACTAAATGTCTTGATGTTCTGGTGTTTGCCAGCATGACAAAGGTACAGTGTTCAGTACTGATCCATCACTTCACCTCCAAAAAATAAAAATAAATACAATTATTCAGACAAATCAAGAGTAAGGACTGTGTTCTCTCACCAGTTCAGCTGTTCTTCATACTGGTTGAAATGTGTGTTCTCAAACAGAAACAGAAAATGTTCATTATTGAGTTTGTGTCAGGATCAGACTGGAATCTTAGCCCATCTATGTTCTTTACAGAATTTCAAGTCTTCAATCATTTATTTTTCATGTATCAAGATCAAAATAATATTTTAATGTTTCCAGCATCATGTAAAGAAACATAAAAGGCAGGAAACTAAAGTGTGGAAGTGCAGCAMCCGGACAAATTATGAAGAGCACACAACAGAGACATATGAAACAAGATGGCTGCCCGAAACATACAAACAGTCCTTTCTGCACTGTTTCAACATWCTTCAGCTGCCAGCAAGTTAAAGGGAAAAATGACCTTGATGAGCCACAGTATTCAAGTTGTATGAAAGTTTCCTCCCAGAGATAGGCAAAGTTTCTGGCTAACTCTTAAAAGGAACAGCAGACAAAAGTCCTTTGCATTAAACGTTGCAACAGACTGCAATTTTGTTTGCTTTGGGTTTGTACGTCAGTAAGTTGCATCCTTTGGAGCCACAATAGAAAATGATGATACTGTGTTGAAAATACTAACAACTATCCTCACACACTGCAACAGGATCAGAAACAAAGCTGCATTAACACTGAAGAAGACAGATAAGTTAACTSTAACATGTGATGCATGGACATCTAATGTCAGAATCTAACGCCACTGTTCTCAGCATTGACTCCTTTTATTCATTTACTTCCCGAGATCTTGTTTGAATAAAAACAGTTTTGCAAAGAAGAGCAAAATATTGTGTTTCTTAAAGGTTTGAGAGATTCTGTGCTCGGACTTTTGTTTGAAATGTGATTATGACWGTGTCAATAAATGTTTAAGTGCATCTCAGCCCTCATTATTTAATTATGAACTTAATGTGTCAATGAAATTGACAGCAGGTTAATTGTTGATAAAATGTTAAAATAAAATATCTGTGACACTGTACCTTGATAACTACATTATAAAAGCAAAGGGGCTGATTTATCATGAGGGCAGATAACCTTACTAAATACCATGAGCAAATAAAAAACAGTCTGTGTTAAAAGTGGGCGTGTTGGGTTTGATTTACTAAAACTGCCTGCCCAGAGCATCACAGGTTCAGCAGTGGTGAGGACCACCCTGTTAATATGATTTGGCATTAGCATGTGACACTGGAAGCAAAGCAGACGCAACAAAATTCAGAGTTACAAGGAGTTTTTTTTAAGAACATAGTTCAACAACCCACTACTCCAGAGCTGCATGAGTCTTTCTAGSCTTGTCAAATTAAAAATAAAGTATTTTATTAGTTTAAATTTGATTTGTTTTATTAATTCTTTCCTTGCACAGTTATCACAAATTTAGATATGATACTTTAACATCCACTTAAAAAAAGAGCTTAATAATTTGTCAACCAAATCACAGCTGCCGCCAGATCTCCTGCAGCACCGCCTGCTGCTGTCCAGTGTTCAGGTGAGCAGAGGTGACTGACAGAGAGATAAGCTCTCATTTTAACTGTCTGCATTTGGAGAAAGTTTCAGAAAAATACATAAAAAAATAAAAGTATCTGTACTAGGTTCTCAACTCCTAAAACATATAGGAAGGCAGTTTAGCATTAATTAAAAATGAGGCTACATTTTTAAAGCTGCAGTTTTATTTTGATTAAAAGGGGCTAAATTTATTTTATCATCCTGCAGAGCGCAGGGGTCTGGTGACAGAAGACATCTCATGTTGGAGATTGTCCTTAGGACAGATTTTGCTTTATTTTGCATCCATACAGAAGGACGGGGCGGTCTTAAAGACTTCCAAAAACTTTCCTTCAAATTAGTTTGTCTCAG